CCCAAGAACCGACAAGGAGGACGGGGACAGCCGTCTCTAAATCCCCGTCAGCCTTCGCCTGAAAAAGCCTGCTGCCATGTTCCAGGTTTTAGTTTTATATTATAAACCCTAATTTAATTCTTTTTATCTACATTAATAACTAGTAATAATTGTACCTCTATTTACTCTCTTAGAGTAGACAAAGTTTATATAGCCGCCTTCTAAAACTGACACCTTGGCTTCTACTAAAGCTCACTCTAAGTATACATGCAGTGTCTTGTATCTCCACTCTCCAGACAACAATCCTTTTAAAGCAAAATCCAAAAAATCTTCTAAGCACGCGCTGCGACAACAACAGACAAACTTCTTTTAATTACCATTATACCATCCTCTTCGCAATCCCTATATAAACAACCCCACCAAACTTCACTTTCCAAAACACACACAGCTCACTTACTCATTTACACATCTTCACTTCCTTTTAAGATCAAATTTTAGTCGAATTCTCTTGTGTTCTACTGTTCTTTTGAGAAAAATGCAGTACCAGATAGCTGATTCATGGGGTTTCTACGTGCCAATGAGGAGCAGGAACATGGAGGATCCACTGGAGAGAGTTGCGAGGCTGGCTTCAGAGAGTGCAGTGGTGATTTTTACTTTGAGTGGTTGTTGCATGTGCCACGCTGTGAAGAGGTTGTTTTGCGGAATGGGGGTGAACCCGACTGTGTACGAGCTGGATCATGATCCCAGAGGGAAGGAGATTGAGAGAGCATTAATGAGGTTGCTTGGAAGTTCTTCTGCAGTTCCTGCTGTGTTCATTGGTGGCAAACTGATTGGCTCCATGGACCGAGTCATGGCTTCCCATATTAATGGCAGTTTAGTCCCACTTCTCAAGGAAGCTGGAGCTCTTTGGCTTTGAGTTTTGACAAATAATAAATAACAACATCAGTCTAATTTTAATGCAGATTATAAAGGAGGAAGGAGAGTGTCTGTTTTTCATGATCTCCATGTTTTAGATTAATTTACCTTCTTTTTTTTTTTTTCTTTTTTTTTCTACTGAAAGTCGAATGTAAAATGAGAGCTGAGAATGAGCAAGGCTTAATTATATAAACTAATGCAATCAAATTAAATCAATGTATGTTAAACTTGGATCATTACTGGGTTTCTTTACAAGTTGTTAGTGTTTCTCGTTGATGAGTGAGTTCACCATTGATAGAGCCTTAGAGCTCGGACAGAAGGAGTCAAATAATTAATAACAACATCAGTCTAAGGAGTCAAATAATTAATAACAACATCAGTCTAATTTTAATGCAGATTATAAAGGAGGAAGAAGAGTGTCTGTTTTTCCTGATCTCCATGTCTTAGATTAGTTTACCCTTTTTTTTTCTAATGAAAGTCTAATGTAAAATGAGAGCTGAGAATGAGCAAGGCTTAATCATATAAACTAATGCAATCAAATTAAATCAAAGTATGTTAAACTTGGATCATCACTGGGTTTCTTTACAAGTTAGTCGTCTTTCTTGTTGATGAGTGAGTTCACTAGTGATAGAGCTTCACTCCTCACCCAATAAAGTCTTGTTGAAACGGAGAATTATCCCCTCTTATAAATCAGTAGGTTTGAGAGTGCGCTTCGTCGGTGTGGGACTTTAACTCTCTCTCTTATAGTCGGTATGGGACTTTAACTCTTTCTCTCTTATGGTTAAGCCCATATACTGCGTCCTGTTGATAGAGGTAGTTGCTGGCTCTAACTTTTCACCCGTTAGTCAAATACTCAGTTCAACTGAGTTTAACTCTAATAGTATGATAGATTTGAGATGGGTCTAACTCTTAATAAGACCTTATTGAGTGAGAAATCAACCTAAATCAAATTCTATCAACAGAGCCTTAGAGCTCAGACCGAAGGAGTCAAATAATAAATAACAACATCAGTCTAATTTTAATGCAGATTATAAGGGGGGAAGGAGAGTGTCTGTTTTTCATAATCTCCATGTCTTAGATTAATTTACCCTTTTTTTTTCTAATGAAAGTCGAATGTAAAATGAGAGCTGAGAATGAGCAAGGCTTAATCATATAAACTAATGCAGTCAAATTAAATCAATGTATGTTAAACTTGGATCATTTAAGGGTTTCTTTACAAGTTAGTCGTGTTTCTTGTTGATAAGTGAGTTCACTATCGATAGACCTTGACTGCTCACCTAATAAAGCTTTGTTGAATGGGAGAATTATCCTCTCTTATAAACCAGTAGGCTTAAATGTGCCTAATCAGTGTGAGACTCTAACTCTCCCTCTCATAGTCAAGCCCATATGTTAGGTCTTGTTGATGGAGGAAGTTGCTACCTCTAAACCAGTAGGTTTGAGTATGCCTAGTCGGTGTGAAACTCTAACTTTCCCTCTCATGGTCAAGCTCATATGTTGAGTCCTGTTGATGGAGGTAATTACTGGCTCTAATTCCTTACCCGCTAGTTAAATACTTAGCTCAATATAGTTTAATTCTGATACGATAATAGAATTTGAGATGTGACTGATCTAAACTAATGCAGTCAAATTAAATCAATGTATGCCAAACTTGGATCATTACTGGGTTTCTTTACAAGTTAGTCGTGTTTCTCGTTGATGATGAGTGAGTTCACCATTGATAGAGCCTTAGAGCTCGGACAGAAGGAGTCAAACTTACTCCAGTTAATAAGCCACGTATACAGATGTGATGACACGATGGAACTGACCCACATGATATCCAGCAAGTGAATGCCACGTAATATAGGAATGAGTAGAATGATTGGAATGGGGAGTGAAAAGAGGAGTATAGAATCAGAAACATGCATGCGCCAAGCTAAGTTAATTAAATTTTGTTTCATTCATTATGTTGAAATGACTTTGAATTAAGGATTTTTTTTTTTTTTTTTAACTGGTATAACATCACGCCATGTAAGCATGAGGTAAGTATTCTTCTTCTTCCTCGTGTTATGAAACCAAAAACCAAAAAAAGTGGGAATGGGAGTTGAATATTGTAAACATGATGATATTAAACTTGCACTTCCGAGAAATCATAAATCATAATGTTGCGAAAGTTCTTTCTTGGAAGATAAACGCCAAAACAGCGACAAAACATTATGATTTTGCTTGCCTTTAAATATACCTTCCTATAAACTTTTTCATAATCAGTCTTGACGATATGCTAGCGTCAAAATAGCTTATTCAATTATCCACTAGGGTTTTTTTTTTTTTTTTTAAACATCATTTTGGATTTATCCATATGATTAAATTAACTTTTACAAGAAACTGAGTCTGGGCCTCCAAAAAAAGGAAATGGTCTGGCAGCCCAAGTTCCTTTGACAGGCCCATCAACCTGACTAATTTAATTTTTTTTTGGGCTGTAACAGAGCGAAAGCTGCAGNGTCAAATTAAATCAATGTATGCTAAACTTGGATCATTACTGGGTTTCTTTACAAGTTAGTAGTGTTTCTCGTTGATGATGAGTGAGTTCACCATTGATAGAGCCTTAGAGCTCGGACAGAAGGAGTCAAACTTACTCCAGTTAATAAGCCACGTATACAGATGTGATGACACGATGGAACTGACCCACATGATATCCAGCAAGTGAATGCCACGTAATATAGGAATGAGTAGAATGATTGGAATGGGGAGTGAAAAGAGGAGTATAGAATCAGAAACATGCATGCGCCAAGCTAAGTTAATTAAATTTTGTTTCATTCATTATGTTGAAATGACTTTGAATTAAGGATTTTTTTTTTTTTTTTTAACTGGTATAACATCACGCCATGTAAGCATGAGGTAAGTATTCTTCTTCTTCCTCGTGTTATGAAACCAAAAACCAAAAAAAGTGGGAATGGGAGTTGAATATTGTAAACATGATGATATTAAACTTGCACTTCCGAGAAATCATAAATCATAATGTTGCGAAAGTTCTTTCTTGGAAGATAAACGCCAAAACAGCGACAAAACATTATGATTTTGCTTGCCTTTTAATATACCTTCCTATAAACTTTTTCATAATCAGTCTTGACGATATGCTAGCGTCAAAATAGCTTATTCAATTATCCACTAGGGTTTTTTTTTTTTTTTTAAACATCATTTTGGATTTATCCATATGATTAAATTAACTTTTACAAGAAACTGAGTCTGGGCCTCCAAAAAAAGGAAATGGTCTGGCAGCCCAAGTTCCTTTGACAGGCCCATCAACCTGACTAATTTAATTTTTTTTTGGGCTGTAACAGAGCGAAAGCTGCAGGATAAGTTTTGGGATTGGACTTTGTAGGACTCATTGTATAAGATCTTAGATCTCCAATGGAATCGCTTACCAACTGCAGAAAGAGAGAACTCCTCCAAGGAAAATGGAGGAGAATTATCTGGCCATAATAAAACAAAAGTGACGCCAGGATTGGTGTTTAAAATTTTCTACAGACTAAACCTTGATTTGATAATCCAAACAAATTAGGAGGCAGGAGGCCTTGAGTCACACCACATGGCCCAATTCAATTAATATTACAAAGCAGACAGCTTAATCAGGAGATTACCTTAATTTTGTTTATCAATGGATTCCCAACCCCCACCAAAATCCAGGGTTGAACAAAACAAAACAAAATCTGTAAGTATATCTAACTGGGTCCCTAACAAGTCATTGCTTTTGTTTCTTAAATAAATTTCTACCATACATCATAAAATCTCATTGTATTTTCAGTTTCATCTTATAGGATTATCGAGTATATGTGCATTTGTTTTGTGGCTCTCGTTTTGTTCTACAAATGGATGGGTGAAAATATAGCCCCCACAAATGGAAATACAAGTTCAGAAACAAAGTGAAACTGATGCAGAATATCGAAATATTCCAATCTTTCTCTCCCATTAACATACAGTGTTGTTTCAGTTTTGGAACTTCTCTTGTATTTCAACTTACCAAATCAATCTCCACCACTTTGTCAATCTGCTAACAGTTGCTACCACCTCTTTTTCTCTCTGTCCCTCGCAAAATTCCAAAAGGCTTTTTCACATGTCTTTGTTTGTAGTGAATTAATAATGCACTTCACCTATCTGATTACAGTTGGTCCTAACACCAACTACTCACGGGTTCCCATTTTATGCATTTTTCTCAAGCTAAATATTAATGCTTAATATGCTTTTCATACACTACTGACTACACCATCTATAATTCTCAATAATTATTGATGCTTTTCAAGAAGCTTCTTCAAACTTCTCCCATGTCTGATCATATCTTCTTTGTTCTTCTTGCTATCTTGTTCATTCATCCTCTTTCTGCATCACGTAAACCAGCAATACCCACCTCTCGGATCACTGTTGTGGGAGCTGTTTTTTGTGATACATGTTCAACAAATTCTTTCTCTAAACACAGCTACTTTTTGCCGGGTGACAAACTCTTAGAACCAACTGATTTTTTCAACTTTTTAGTTTTTTTTTTTTTAATGAAGTTAACAATTGAATTTTCATGTTTTACTATACTAATCAGGAGTGGATGTTCATATACAATGCAAATTCAAGGCAAATTCCCCGAAGACCATGGAGCAGATTGCCTTCTCGGTGAACAGAACGACGGATAAATATGGAGTTTATAAGCTTGAAATACCCCATGTGGATGGTGTTGACTGTGTGGATGGTATGGCAATAGAATCATTGTGCCAAGCAAACTTAATAGGAAGCTCATCTTCAGCATGCAATGTTCCAGGTTCAAATATGGCAGCAAATGAAATATCAGTCAAATCAAAACAAGATAGTCTCTGTATATACAGCTTAAAAGCTCTGAGTTACAAACCATTCAAAAGAAATGTTAGTTTGTGTGGAAATAACAAAGAGGGATTGCAAAGGCAGACTTCTTTTAACTCTTCAAAGTTCTTCCTCCCTTATTACTTACCTTCTCAACTACCTCCTTTATTTCCAGGGCCACCATCTTTGCCTTTCCCATTTCCAACAGCCCCGCCTATTTTTTCACCACCACCATTCAATCTAGGAGATCCAAAATCTTGGATTCCTAAACCTCCTCCACCTGCGTTTAATCCTGGAGATCCAAGAACTTGGATTCCTAATATTCCTACACTATCTCCTCCACCTCCACCTGCATTTAATCTTGGAGATCCAAAAACTTGGATTCCTAATATTCCTACACTATCTCCTCCACCTCCACCTGCATTTAATCTTGGAGATCCAAGAACTTGGATTCCTAATATTCCTATGCTATCTCCTCCACCACGGCCTGCATTTAATCTAAGGGACCCCAGGACTTGATACCTACATTCCACCATCTCCTGGCAACCCTCAAAGCCAGAAACCTTAGTATTGGGTTTATATTTGTTATATTTTTACTCCAGTATTCTCAACAAAGACTATGTTTTTATCATGTTATTATTTGATCATTATATATGCTTTTATTTGTGTGCTTGAAAACAGATTGAAATAGAATAATAATTAGAGGTTCTAGAATTTTTAATTAAAAAAAAAACAGCGATATTTTCATTTAACTTTAATAGCTGTGCTGGTATTTACCGGGTAAAATCAGTTTCTTTACATATCAGTCCTTTAATCTTTTCGTAAAAGCTACATTGCTATCATGGAGTTCCCCTCCTTTCTTCAAGCCACTTCACCTGAGCAAGTAGATCATTTATGGTACTCGATGCTTCCTACAGCAGATGACATTCAAATAAAGTTAGAAAAAGAAACAGCTCATTAAATGATTATGCAAATTCAATGGAAGTTTTTATCCTACCCTTAACTTTTCCCTCAATCTATCCTCCTCTGCATCTCGCCGCCCCCTTTCCTCTTGAATCATATCAATTAGAGTAATCTGCTCTTGGTCCATCTCTTCTATTTTCTGTTGTGCCTTCTGAAGCTGGAGGAAAACCAACAGCGAAGTTATATTTAAGAATTGACATGAGACACAAATCAAAACTATGAAGTTGGACGTGTACAAAATTAAATATAAGGAGAACAGTGAATGGAAACCTACTTGATTTTCAAGGGATCTACATTTATCTCTTTCATACTGTAAATCGCTTGGCAAATCATCCTTTCTTGAACTGTCCTTTGTTTCCAATCTACAATCAAACATATATAAAATTAGTAAAAATGATTCAAAACTAACTGGAACAAGGATGAGCGAATTCAGTACTAAAGGAAATTTAAATATCACCTTTCTATTGATTTATGATCCTTTTCTTTAGACTTGATTAGACTCTCTATATCACCATTAGAGAGAACTCGTCCATCATTTTCTTTAGACTTGATTAAACTCTCAGTAGCACTGTTAAAGAGAACTGGTCCATCCTTTTCTTTAGACTTGATTAAACTCTCTGTATCAACGTTAGAGAGAATTCGTCCATCTTCATGGACAGCAGCTGCCTGTGCATTCTGGGTGTAACAAATGAAATTTTAGGGACAGAACGTATAGAACAAATGACTGTTTTGAGAAATAAAAGTATTGCACCATCTAACAACTGTAAAGGCTTAAAGAGAAATTACATTTGAGCGAGGTCTCCTAGGTATATGAAGTCTTGTTTCATGTAGATGTAACCTGGGGGCATGTTGAGATTGACCACTAACCGGGGATGGTTCATGACTGCTTCCATCTTCACTTGTGTTATCTGATTCTGGTGATCTTTTGTCCAATTCCGTCGACAGTTTTGTCTTACTCCTACTGTGGTCACGCTCATTCTGATTTGAAGGTGAGGAGCATTTGTCTTCATCTGATGTTCTTGAGTCTGTCTTTGCAGAAGCAGGTTTTGAAGGCGTAGATGGTTTTTCTTTATCTGATGTTCTAGAGTCTGTCTTTTCAGAAACAGGACTCTTTAAAGAAGGCCGCCTTGGAGCATAACCAACTTCCTGACAGTTTGTACACCTAATGAAAAGAATAGTAAACTGTCAATTATTTGATCTCTAATCCTGAAGGAACGAAGGTACATGGGAAGAGTGCAAACCAGTAATTCTTCTGAATTGCAACTAAACGATTTTCTAGTCTTAATAGCACAGGTGTGCGCTCAAAGCCTTGTTTGTCATGAGCTGGTTCAACAAAATTAGCCTCCAATACACCTGTTACAAAAGAAGGCATAACAAAAGTGAAATAGGGTAAGTAATGCATATAATTAATTGGTTGACTAAAAGCAAAAGAAAAAAAAACTGTCTAAATACAAGTATTTAGCAAAACAAAAACAATTAACGATTACCTATAGCCCCACGACCATCACTTCCAGCAGCATTCCAAACTCTCCAGAATGGCTGTATGCATCAGATTACCGGTCAATGACAAAAAAAGTTATAGTAATAATAAAGGGAAATCATATAATCCTTGTCAAGCATAAAATGCTTAGTGAAACATGAAACTAACCTTTATAAGTCTGTTTTTATGATAAACATTAAATCCTTGAACATCGATATGATGTCGAGCATCCTTCACGAACCCGATTGTCACAGTTGCAACCATCTAATACAACAGATACAAGGTTATGCCAAGCTGGAAGTGAAACCAAACAAAATTCAAAATATTTCTAACATTACATTCAAATCTCTTGGAACTCGTTCAGGAAGATGCAGAGGTTTGTATGTGATCTCCTTAGTCAGCATCATATCATTGATTATGTTGTGATGCAGGACATCTTTTCCACGCAGTATAATTCTAAAGCCAGCTGGAAGTCTGAGATAAAGAATTGATGCATAGCTCTGGCATAACGAAAAGAGAACGAAAAAAAAAAAAAACAGGGATAAGGAATTTTGTAAGGAAAGAAAAAAAATATAAAATTAAGAGGGAAAATATGAACCCTAACATTTCAAATTAAACTAGGTAAAATACTTTGTATAGAACACATATACTGATACATACCCTTAGAGAATGTCGATAAGTTAAGAAATGTCTTGAGTTGGGATACTTTTTTGCCATCTCTATGTTTTTCTCATCTCGATTGACTCCTCTAATTTGAATATCCTGTCATTCAGAATATAAATCAGATATAATATCATATACTATCAGAAATTAAACATTCAACCTTTTAGTTCTTCATGAAATTCTAAGGAAAGTAAAACTGCTAAGGGCATACATCTCGATCAGAGTCAAAATCTAGTTCCAAATTTCCTTCATCATCCTCCCAAAGATTGTATATAATTACGCGTGTACCTTGATCTTCTAATAAGTTGAACTGTAGCATAAAACGACAACAAAAGCAAATTTGGTGAGAGAAAAATTAAGATATTATAAATGCAAATAGCTATAAAGAGTGTCAAACCGAATTTATTACTTCAGATTCAATATGACAAAACAATAACCCACACAATCACTACAGCATTTGAAATATTGAACACTTAAAGCACAGAAAACAACTATAAACACTGATAATCACGAGCATGAGTGGATACATAAACAATCAGAGGTAGAATGTCAGAAGTGAACTATCCAGAAAGTAATAGGCCTCTCAGAACAAACATTCATGCAAGAATGTCAAACTCTCAAGAATGCAGCTCTACTTAATTAATTGTTTTTATATAGGGTCTGTCTTTTCTTTTGATAGAAGCAACCAACATACCAAAGCAAAGAGTACATAACAGGTAACCCAAGAAAACAATTTCTTTCCACATCTGAAAAAAATAGTAAACATAATAGGATAATATCGTAAACCTGATGAAATAGATCTTCTTCACTTGTATATGGTGACCACTGTACTATGGTTTCTAAATTTCTGTTCCAATCATCCAGTGAAGACCTTATCATCTTGTTCCAACTTTCTCCCTTTCTCTGATAGTCAATCTTGTCATTGCAGAAGAAGAAACAATTAAAAGGCAAAGAACATAAATCAAGCTAAAATGATAAATAAGAAAGTGATATACTATCATTTGCTAAACATGCAAACAACAGCATCTGAATTAGTGAGCTCTACTTTGAATCACATACATACAGCCAGTGTACATCCCAAACACAGAGTCAAAATGAGAATAAATAAGTTGAGGTGACCTAACATACCATGGGAACCACAATATCTTGCTTTCCAGTGCCCATCAGAAAAGAATAGGACAGTAGTCCAATACTTCGCGTCAGGCTAAAATAATGAAAAAGGTTCAATTAGTTTTGGACTTCTATCATTGCAAATAAACTTGAATAAGAAAAACAAAATTGTTACTAACTTGCTGATCACAAGTGGTGAAACAAAACTCAGTGTATAATCTAAAAGTTTAGAACTGAAAACTGACATAGTATCAGTAATCACTACAAGTAGAATTCTGAAAAGCAAAATTAATTCATAACTAATGGACCAACCTGTTTCCGTTGTTCCCCTTACAACATGAAAACACAATAACATCTGCTCCAAGCCTCATAGTACTCGTCTTGAACCCATTTCCATCTGAAGTTAATATGCAAAAATTAATGCGTTTGAGCATATAATAAGATATGTAATCACTATAGTTCGGTTCTTAGCGTATCCCTAGTAATAAAGAAACTCACATTGACCAATGGTGTTTGCCATTTTGCTCTTGGCAGAATAACCAAGAGACATGCACTGCCTCATTTTATCAGGCGTCATTCCACCACCATTATCTGTTTTCAAAGAACAAAATTAGAAAACCACCTAGCATTGTCATGAGAAGAAGTAACAGGTACTATGTATCAGACACAAATACAGAAGATTCTGAAAACCAGCACGTATTGACTACAATGTACACAATTTTATGATAAACAAAAACAAAAGCCTATCAGGCACAAAATCATCCTTAAAACTTTTTTCAAGTTTTATCAATGCGAATAGAAGAACTAAAGAACCCCTAAAAAGCTACCAAACATGAAAATAGGACAGTGTACCTTCAACAAGCAACATGTTAGAACCATCTTTTTTATTCTTCATCATATCTACATTAACATAAGTGGCTCCATGGCAAACCTGGAAATAGCTGATAGTCAGAAAGATTACAAGGTAAAAATGCTTTAGACACTGATTTATAAGTAAAAGTGATCCAATACCTCATCCAAAGAATTGTCTAGAAGTTCAGCGAAAGCTGCACACAAAATTCAGTCAGTAAAATTCACAGAAGACAAGTAATAAAATATATCATACATACACAATGTTATTGTTTTTCATGCTTCAATCGCTATTTACCTCCCAAAGCCCATTTATGGCTGGTTGCGTTTGAATGTAAGAACTTTGGATGCACCCTGACATGATCCATTCCAACTGATGATAAGATATAAAAATTATACGTTAGCGTAGTATTAAAATTTTCATGTCAAAAGAACAACGTCGATGGCAAATTATTCACATGAATGTAAATCTCTAGCACATAAACCAACCATATACTTTTTCTTCATTCATCAGAAAATAAACAATTTATGATTCTTCGTTCATCATAAGAGAAACAAATTTTCGACAATTCTAAGATCCGGTTGATTCATTCTTTCAAATTAATAATAATTAATAAGAAATCGTAAGCTCCATAATTTTATACAATCAACGCAAACAACATAAGGATATCATATGATTCGCAAGTGTTCAATGTCGTCTACATTCAGAAAAATATATAAAAAAAAAATTTTAAAAAACCAATCAAATCGACCAAAACAAACATAATGAGAAACTAAATCACCAGAATTAATTGAAGAGTCATCAGCATTGACTCCTTCATAGTCCCCGGCTTTCCAAAACTGTTTACAAGCCCTCAAAACCGGAGCCGCTTGAAAATTAATATTCTCATTAGCATCTGCCGCTACCGGCAAACTATCTTGCACCTGTTCAGCATCCGCGACGGTGTCAGGCGCCACGAAGTTCAACGGCAAAGGCGGTGGAAGAAAAGAAAGAAACTTAGGAGAAATCGCGGTATTAAAATCAGGACTCTCGAGTTTCGGTTTCTTTCCAAGCAAGTAACCATTGTTAAATTCGTTAAAACTACGTTTCTTGTTCAATTCAGATCGCATATTAACAAAGAACGAATTATCGGTATCTGAATCGTCACTAGAACCGCTGCTGCTGCTGCTGCCGCTACCACTGCTTATATCGGTGGGTAGAGCAGTGGAAGTTTGTTTCCGTAAATTCTCAATGTCGCTTTTTTTACCAGAGTAAACAAAACAAGGTTTTTCTTGTTTCACGTTAGAGAAAGCCATGGAATGTTTGGAGCCCGAGAAAACGAGAGCAATTCTTTTGATTCACACGAGAGATTCAGAAGAAGAAGAATTATGTTTGGTCTTTAAATCGTTATCTAAATCAAATTCTATAAGGAAAAGGAATATTGAATCAAATTCTACTAGAATTAGGAATTATTTCTTCTTTTTTTTTTTTTTAATATTGAATATTGGATTTTAAAATTTTATGATAACACTTCATTTACGCATATCTAATGTATTTGAAAATATATTGACACAAATTTGCAATAAAAACTATTGATTTTTATTTTAATGCAATGCTAATAAAAAGTTGAAGGGTTGAAATTGAAAATAATTATTTTTTTATAAAGGCTTTCGATCATTTCAAAAGGTTTTTAATAATTCTAGAGACGTTTAATGATTTTCAAAAGTCATTAAAGCTCTTGATATTTATCGATCTCTGAAGGGCGAATGAAATTAACCCTCATGTTAAAGTAAAATAATTAAAATTTTATTTTACAATGCTCTTAGCATGTATCCTAAGGTCATATGTCAATATTTATTTGATAAGAAAAGTATTTTTAATGATTTAATCCAATATTACAGTTGACTAAATATTAAGGTTTTCGAATGCCTAGATTGAGAGAAGTAAATGAAATTTAAACTATGTTTGGTATGGCTTTATAAATGGGCAGATGCATAATTTGTAATGTTATACTTGTAAATAGTAAGACATTAATAATACCAAGGCTGATTCACATGTACCGGCCCCAACGATCGCAAAACTAATTCATACCCCAAGCTCCAAAAACCAGCAACATTCCACCTGTGATTAGTGTCCATTAATGAAATCGGGTGCTAGACATAGAAAGACGAAATTGCCCCTAAATCATTGGCTTTATGTGTTTAAAAGATAATATATTGTGAAAATATGTTAAATGACCAATATAGCCCTATTAAACAATATATTGACTGAAAAAATCATTTATTAATATATTGATTTTGGAAATATATTAATAAAAAATCAACATTAATTATCTTTAATATCAAAGTTAACTGTAGTTATCCTGACTAATCGAAAGTTATCAACAAAGTACTGAAAAAATCAATAAAAAATTGTCAATAAATCCTTACAAATAAAAATTGAAAATAATCTATAGACATTCAGGAAAAAAAAAAACAAGTAAAAAATTATTCCAAAATAACACACTTTTGCGAGCAAAACCTTCATTACAACTTCATAAAAAAAAATTGTTTTTTGTTTTTTGTTTTTTTTATTTCTAGCTAAAAACGATGATGATTGAGAGAATTGAGTTATATATATATTGGATAAAAGTATTTTTAGGTTTAATTTAGTTGCGATGGTTAAAAGACCAAAACACCCATTGACCGTTAAATTTAACATTTGAAGTTGAAAACTAGGTGGAATGTTAATGGTTTTTGGAACCTGGACTTGGGGTATGAATTTGTCATTTTGCAATTGTTAGACCATCTCCAACCTATTGCACCAAATTGGTGCAAAATACTATTCCATCTCCAACCCACAACACCAAATATTACATCAAAAAGAATATTCCTTAGAATATTCTTTAAAATATTCTTTTTTTTCTTTTATTGTAATAATCAACAATTAATCTATTTCCCACATTATTTTTGTATATATTAATTAAATATTAGGAATAATATTTTTATTAAATAATAATTATTTTGAAAATTATACTAATTTAATAAAATTAAGCATTTATTTAATCAAATAAACATTACATTTAATATAGAAAAACATTACATCTAATATAAAATGATACAAAAAAAAAAAAAAAACAACAACAACACAAAGGTAAAATTCCATATTGATAGTAATTTAATTTTTATTTTGAGTTATTATAGTTTAATATTTGCATTGACTAAAGTTCTATTTTTAATTTTTCATCATTTTTTAAATTATATCATTATTATAAATAATAATTAAATTAAATACAAATACTCAAATTTGGTGTGATTTTGGGTGTAAAATTTAATACTCAAATTAACTTAACAAAATTAAAAAAAAAACCAAAAAACCAAAATTAAAAAAAATATATATTTTTTTTATTTGAGCTACAGTGTTGCGCCATTTTGGCGAAATTAAAAAATATATATATTTTTTTTATTTGTGCTACAGTGTTGCGCCATTTTGGCGCAGTGCTGGCGCAGCACTGTAGCACTGCACCAAAATGGTGCAGTGTTTGGTGTGGGTTGGTACAATTTGGTGTTTTTTGCGCTATTTTGGCGTGGGTTGGAGATGCCCTTAAGGTGGACAAATGTCAGTGAGTGTAATACTAATTGGCCTTACTTTGATAATTGGATTCGGATCCATGTGCCAAAATCTAAAACAATAATAATAGTCTCACAAACATCTTTCACTAACCTATCTGGCAGCTCACAATTGGCTTGGTCAGACTGGACCCATTATTGGGTAAACAAGACTCATGCGAGTTGACCAATTACGACCTGACACGTCGCGTTTGTGAGAAAAAGTTAGTGAGAAGTGTTTGTCAATGTAGTATTACTCGGAAAAAAAAATTCTCCCCTCGTGATCGGATGGTAAACCCTTTAGCTACTAGGGTTCGTTATACTCAGAGAGTCTTATGTTTGAGTCGTAGAAGAGGTATCTACCACATTTGTGCAATTACCTTGGTCTATTAGACTTGTGGGGTGTTTCGTGGTCCTGAGGACTAGGCAGACTCCAATGTGAGCTTGGAAAGGAAAAAAAAAATTATATTTTCTCATATTAATTAAATTAAGATTCATAAAAATATTTAATAAAAAAATTATAGTGACATAATTTAAAAAACATCAATCTCTACCAAAACCAATAAACCATGACACGGATTTAAGATGTAAAAATTGAGTCAAGGATAATTCAAAGTCTTTATAATAAATATAGATATAGAAACCCCAATACATTAATATTTTGTTTACAATTGAGTTATACAACCGAGTCATACAAATAGATAAAAATTACATAATATTTATGTAAAATGATTATTCTGTCTTTTATTTTTTGTCTGTTTATATGATTCAATCATAAGCATAATATTGCTCATCTTACAAGGAGATTGTTATTTAATATTATCGGATTAGTCTTTTTCACCATTATTATCATGCTATGTAAAGGTGAAAGGAACTCACGAGTCAAACAATTAGGTAAAATACGAGGATTGGCAAGATTTGTGCCACTTAATTATTTAATTTCAACCATGTACGTTACAATAAGACACTATTGTGCTATGTGTTGGGTTTTAAGCCACTATATTTTCAACAAATATTTATCTAGATTAATTAAATAAATGAATATGAAATTAACCACCAAGTCCACCACTAGGTGGCATGATAATAAAAAAGTAAAATAACGTTTTATAAGTTTTTGAGATGTTTATCCAGTCGTCAACAAAAGGGTACCGAAAAATTAGTTAAAATATGCACAAACTGATCCAGACACTCCTGATCACCAAAATAAATAAATCTACAATCTCATTGATTTGTTATTTCCAAATACTTTTTACCTCAACCTATAGTTATTATTTTTAATTTTAATAATATAATTAATAGGATACAAAATTGGAATTTATTATTCTGACGATTGAAATTGTCAAAGCAAAGGTCGTTTACAGACAGATTTATCCGGAATTGTTTATTGCTTTGAAGTTGTCATTCTTAGGTAAAATATAATAGGCTATAATATGTTATTGCTACTGTTGATACCCAACCATTTTCCATGATTTGGTTAGTTAATATTAATCAATATTAATTATGTAGCAATGTCAATGTTGATAACGTATTCAAATATTAATTAATTTTTCAAAACTTGCATTAATCCCACCGCCCACACATTAATGTTTGATTCCTCTTAGGTTGTGTTTGGTTAGTATCCTTGAAAGATTATTCTGATAATCTATCTTTTAATTTGGTCATTATTTTATTTAGTTTAGTAGATAATAAAAGATTGTGACTCAGAGAGTAGTATTTTAAGATAACCATAGTAATTTTATTTTTGTTTCAATTTTATCCTTGCTTAATAAAAATTTCAGACATAAATGGCCTCATGTTGATGTTATATAATAATTAATCCAACTTATTGAATGACTTCTTTAACCTCATTAATTAATTATTTAAACAAAAATGCCCCTCATTTAATATATAACTACTCGTATATAAAGTCCTCTTTAGAAACCCTAACCTACTAATCTTATAAAAGGGTATTTCAGTAAAATAATATCTAAGTATTTTATAATCACTATCAACCAAACACATTAACTATTTATATAGTCCACACGAACTAAACACAATAATAATTTATACCCATTAATTTTTTAAAGTTATCTATTTTATCGGTAATTCTATATTTTTAGTAATAAAATATTATTGGAATCAAACGCACCTATTTCACTTTTGATGAAATGGTCTCCATCTTGGCCTTTAGAACCACATATTTAATGTTAGATATTAACATAATTTAAGAGCCATACATGTATGTTTGTTGTTTAAATTGAATCCTAAAACAAATAGAGTTGTTATAATGATGAAATGTCAACATATATAATTCAATTCATTCATGACAAAATCAATGTCACGTGTAACGAAGGGAATCATAATTATTAATTAGAGTACTTAACTGAAGTAGATATAATAATAATAAAACTTGAATTATATATATATATATATAATTTGATCGTGTAGGCAAACAAAACTGAAAGTGGCACAACTTGTATAATAAACCTGTCGAAATTAAAAAATATAGTATTAAAATAGCAAAGTCTACTTGAATTATGTATAGTTATAATTAATAAAGAAATGGAAGAGGAGAATAAGAACATAACACTCGGTAGTGAATCAGCAACGAGCTACGTGGCGATTATAAAAATAATAGAAAAGCTCAGTAATTTAGATGCTTAATTTGGTCACATCCAGTGCCGTCATATACAGTGTAGGATTAAAATGTGGATAGACTATAGTAGCAGTTTCCTCCATAGCCACGGCAATCCAAATGCAAAATGGGTTTCATTTTTTTTTTTATATGTACTTTTGCTTTGCTTTCACGTTATAATTACTAGGGAACAATTTAGGTATACAATTTAATCTTATCATCTGTGATATGATAGTTCACAACTGGTTAGCTCATAAATAGACAGGACCTATACAAGCAAGCAGAACTCATTTTATGAGCTGACCAATGATAAATTGTTACGTTGGGGGTCGTGAGATTGGGTTATGGACCTAGCATTACTCAAGGGTAGTACTACACTTACAACCTAATATTACAAACTTTTTCTTATAACTCTAACTTGACATATCACAATTGGTCAATTTGTAATGGGTCTTGTTTGCTCAATTGTGAGCTGCCACGTTGGGATTATGAGAGAAAGTTTATAAGATTGAATTGTGACTTATGACCTCATCTTTATTGATTTGGCCAATATATACCACACAAAATTAAATAATAACTTAAACAATAGATATATAACAATTTTGTAAACAAATTTAATAATAGTTTTTTTTTTTTTTTAATCTCAATTTACCACGTGGTTAATATAGAATTTGAGTCTTATTTTGCTTTTTGCACAAGTATATTATAATCTCTATCTAAATATTTTTTGTTTTTCATCAAATGAATATATCATGGTATGACATATAAAACGTCTTAATTAGAGAATTATTGATATAATGTATAATAATTCTCTAGTCGAGCATTAACAGTAATATTTTAAATATCTTTAAAAAAAAAAAAAAACTAAAATTCTTTATATAAATACAGTGTTGAATGGATATATATTATATAAGTTAGAATTAAAAGTAGAAAAGAAAGCAACATGAAATGAAATATGTAAGGAGAATGGGACATATGGGAGATTTTGATTAGAATTTAGAAGTGAATTTGGAGACATTTGATAGTGGGCAGAAGAAAATTATGATTGAAATGTTTTTTGGGTCCACAATTATTATAATCGAAGGCTCACATTATATTGCTGCAACTATTTCCAAAATCAACATAGATTGACTAAGCCCACCATGGCTTCAAGTAATCAATATTACACTGTTAATTAGATTGATTATTACTTTTAGAGTAAACAACATATTCGCACCCAAAGTTTGACGAAATCTTCAGTTGATACCTCAAGTTCCATTTACTATAGATTCTCACCCTTAAAGTAACGAAAAATTGTTAGATATAATGGCTCAGAGGTAAATTGGTCATTTCGCAGAGGAGGGGCACATTAGCAGATCACCACCCCTAACAAAGCTCTGGCGCACGTTAGCCAACATATCACCGCTGACATTTTTCGCCATTTTCTAGCGATTCTTCCATCAAAAATCACCCTTGTCAGCACCATTTGAATCCTCATCCTCCCCTTTACAAAACCTTACCCTTCACAACCCCTCATCACTCGCCGATCGCTAGCCACGACAGCTGCCACATGCGACTGGTTTTCGTCGGTCTCCACCGGTGAATGACCACTAAACGGTTGTTGGGGACATAGGGGTTTTGGATTTTCATCGCGGGAATTGACCAGAATCCAACGAAGAACGATGAAAACCTAAGCCTGACGGTGCCGACGATTGGAGGGGCCAATGAGTTGGGAACCAAAAGGGTTTTGGATGACGGACGATGGGGAAGGTGATGGAGGTGACCAGGGGGTTCAATGTCATCGGAAACAACCTAGATCCGGTGAAAACCGAGACGGTGCATAGTCATTAAGGGTGTAATTGAAGTAATTTCAAAATAAGATAGTTAATTTTATAATTTTAGTGATTTAAGGGTCAAAACATAATTTATTAATTTAGTGTTAAGGGCATTATGATAATTGCACCCTCACTACCCTAAAAATTGTTAACAGTGTTATTTTAAGGGTAGGAATCTGGAATAAATGGAACTTGGGGTACCAACATAGGTTTTCGTCAAACCTTAGGTGGGAATATGTTGTTTACTCTTACTTTTATTAATTGTATGTATTAGTTTTTCATAAACCAACAAACAAATACTCCATCCACCATTCTCTATGGGGGAGGTCATCAGGAGCTTACCGGCGGCTACTGGTAAACTTCCATCAGGTTTCTAACCTTTGTGGTTACCCAAAGTATAATATAAGAATACTCCAAAATATAATATATTAAATCTAGTTGAACAATCCAGAGAATTTTTTTTTTCTAATTCTGTATCTCAATTCTGTCCTCCCGGATAAAACTAATGAAAATATTCGTAAAAAAAGAGTAAAACTTATTTGTCCACTTCTATCTGTTTCTCAATCCACAGAAACTGGCCTCTTCAAGCCATTGTAGAGATAAAAGAGCCAAAAATTAAAGAGAAAAAATATCGCCCCCTTGTGAGTTTGACAAGTGGATTATCTTTTTTTTATTATTTGTTTCGATTTGAGGCCTTATATGTATGTGTATATATATACATATGCTATGCAGTTGAGATCGCATATCCTGTCAACTGTGAAGCAGTCATTCCGTTTTTATATATTCTCCTCTTCTGCATCTCCCTCCCTTAAATGGCTATTTCGCTTTGAATCATTCAACTCCGCTTTATAAAACTATCTGTTTCACCTATTTCTCTGTTAACTTCTGGGTTCTTCCTTTCCATCTCCCTCTTGCATGATTTCAGATTTTACTTTTTTTGATTCGGAATATATGAGTAACACAATGAGGCCGAGGATTAAGTTCATGTTTTATATGGTTTATGACAGAGGTTAACACGATCCTTTTGCTTCATTTTCTTTTTCATCTGTTAATTATTGAATCAAGTCTTGTTTTCTTTCATAAATTCTTCATCAATCGTCAAAGGCGTTGTGTGGTTTTTAATTTATCCCAACATCCCAATTAGTTTTCTGTTTATATCTTAATTTCTTGCCTTAACTACGATGGATGTGATGAGTAAAGGAAAAGGGAAGAAAGGCAATTTGATCGTCAAGACATGGGAGAGATGCAAATCAATCGGGCGTAGCAGTAAACTTAAACGTTCAGTTCCAGGTCTCACAGTGAAGAGCAAATCATGGCCACGCATGGATGCCTCTGCAACCTCGTTTGATTATGACGGAGATCATCATCAAAAGCGTCCAAGAAAGCGTCGAGTGGCTCCTGAAGGCTGCTTCTCTGTCTACGTTGGGCCACAAAAACAAAGATTTGTCATCAAAACCGAGTATGTAAATCACCCACTTTTCAAGTTGCTCCTGGAAGAAGCTGAATCAGAATATGGATTCAACAGTGAAGGCCCTCTCGTTCTTCCATGCAAAGTTGACGTATTTTGCAAGGTTTTATTAGCAATGGATGCAGACAAAGATGAGATTCGTCAAGGTTGTACCTTCCCCAGGAGCCATAGCTCTTATCGCCTCCTCAGCCCGTCTCGGATGATCCCCATAAACCAAATCTAATCAATCAAATTTTATTAGCTTTTTCTAGTACTTGTGTTTACTTAGTTTTAATTCCTCCGTTTGAGAACGTGCCTGAGATTATCTACAATAATCAATAATCATGTACAGTAGTAAAGGATAGTAATAATATCCGAATCCAAAGCTCTATCTTTGTAAGATTATGAACACTCTACTGTTATGAAGAAGTTCTATTTTGTTATGATGGAGTTGACTATCTCAAAATACGGTTGGTTTTGGTTTTGGTTTAATTTATAATTAATTAATTATCTTTTTTAATTATGCGAAAAAGGCGGTAGTTGATCTTATTATAATGTTAATTAATTCTGCATTATTAACAATAATATAACAAGTTGCTGTTAATCAATCACTGATTGATTAAAGAGTGTGGTTGTGTGAAAGCATTGCGATGAAAGAGACTTATTAAATTAAAGTTCTATGCATATGTTACATCATGGTTGATACCTTTCTGGCTAAGAATCTCCATCATGGCTCATGCATGTTGATTTGAAGTTCATAAGATAAGATCCATGAGGCTAATAGAAGTTTTGATACTACATGCAAGTTGGTTATATTTTGTCATCACCCTCTTTGTATTGGAATAGAATAATAGACCATACATACACCCATTTATTTCATTTCATTTCTTCTCTACTTGATATTTAATTTAATAGAAATTAATTTAAAATAGAGTAAACGACTTTTTCCCACCTAAAAAGTTTCATACCACTTTCTCAGCCAACGTTTGGTGAGTTACCAAGAGCCAGTGTAAAAGGTGTTTTGTGTAATAGAGGCCGGTGGATCGAATGGTGACGACTGATTGAATATTTACTATCGAAATCAGTAAGAAATCAGGCACTAGAGTAAAACGAGTTTTATAGAGAAGAGATCAAAGGTTTAAATGATGGTGACAGAGAAAATTTGTATCGTCAGAATCAAGTTTGGGTATTAACAAAATATAAACTTTGGATGAGAAAGTGGTATTTTAAAATTTTTTGAGTGGAAAAGTGTCGGTTAAGGCAAACCTTGGGTGGGAAATAGTCGTTTACTGTTTAAAATATGTAGCGAGGTATGTCACTAGCACGCATGCTACACTCACTCAAACAATTCTACAATCTAAATTAGTTGGACGACTAAACTTAAATTATTTAATTAATTTATAGATAATAACCTATCATTTTCCGCTTCGTTATCATTTAGATATGCATCATGCTTCTTCCTCCCCTAGATCGATTCTCATTTTTCTAAGGATATGCAGAGATTACTCAGTCCATAATCCATATTGCCATATCAATATAAAGATCTATTTCCAATTACAATTTCACTTTGAAGCATAAGACAGACGTTGGTGGACCTTCCTGGTACTTTAGGTGAGTGTGCCTCACTGATTGGGTCGTCAGAGTGTGACTTTGATACCTTGTGCACCTATTTTGACTAACAAAAGATGGTGGGGTGCCAACCTGAGTGCATCGACGTCGTTTTCATAATGTTTGAAACTTTCGAATCCGCACATAATTCAATTGTAAAAAGGGGCAACTTTTTTAAAAACATGGATTAAATTCAGTGAATGAACCACATTTCTCCTTTATTGTAACCTTCCAAGAAAGAAGTCATAAAATAAAGTAATCAACACATCTTTATCATTATAAAGCCGCCAAGTTTTTTCTGTTTCGCTCGTCCCTCTGTTCTAACAATCATAAAATAAAGACGAAGAGTCTGCATTAGATCACTGCAGCCCCAAAAACGACGTTGGATCAGATAAAGATATGAAATAGTTTTGTGGTAACAGAAGTAAAACTAAATCTTGTTGGACCAATTAAGAGTGGACATGAATCATGATTTGGATGAGCATAAGACAAATGAAACCACTTCCAAGGAGTAGGTGAAATTGGACAATGTTACGTAGTCTTAACATTTTTCCAATCTGTTTTGCTGCAGGTTCTGCTTGGGAGATTTTAAGGGGTTTTTTAGTAATGGTTTTTAAAACATTTAATTTATGTTTACGAATTTATTTTTTAGCAGTTTTAATAGTTTTTAAAATGATAAAATTTATATATAAACTCATAAAAATACTCTATAAAAATACTCAAACTCCAACTAGTATTTTATAACTTCAAAAGTGATAAAGTCTCTTTATCATTCTTTGTTATTCTTAGCACGATAATTGAAAGATTATAACTCCACTTCTCCAATAAAACATTTACAAATGAGATTTTAATAATTTTTTTAATGATTGCTTAAAATTATTTTATATTTAATATGGTTAGAGATGCAAATAATATGATTAAACTTTTATTTTTAAATATAATTAGGATAGTTTTGTTATGGAATAAAATTTTAAAAGTAACCAAAACACTCTGATTTGGGGGGTTTTATAAACATCTAAAAAATATACTATACTAATTTTGGGAAGTTTTTGAGCCAATTAAAACTAGTACATATAAAATCTAGCAAGTAATTATTTTAGAACATCTCAAAACTAGTAGAAAAAAAAAAACCCGCAAGCAGTTAAGAAACCAAATTTGGATTTCACCTATCTCAATTCCTCTGTTTTATTAAATTAATCTGATTTTAAAATTGGACCCACATTACATAATGAGTTTATTAAATAATTATTATAATGTTTATGAGAACTTTTTTTTTTTTTTAATCGGAGTGTTCAAATTAGTTTATACATATTTTAATTAATTCTCGAAATTTATTAAACACCTTACAAGTCCAAATGATTAATTTTCAAGATTCATTAAACACCTTATAAATTCAAAGGACTAATCCCCAAAATTTATTAAACACCCTATAAGCCTAAAAATCAGGTAAACCACAACCCAAGGTTTGGCGAAATGACACTTTTCCACCCTTCAAGTTTCAAAATAACATTTTCCAACTATTCGCTAGGTTATGTTATATTTTCTATTAATATTAATATTTTACTGAAAATATGAAAATGCCTTTAAATATTTGACTATATAAAATTTTATTATTTTCTAATTAGCCAAAAAGTTAAATATTAAAAAGTCAAAAAAGAAAAAATATTGATGCTATGGAATTGTTTAAAATTAAATGACTTTAATATTTATTTATTTATAATGTCATCATATCTTATAACTATTATTTAATAATCAACTAAATTTATAATGCTTTTCATTTTTATTAGTTAACATAAAATATCAATATTTCTAATTAATTAAATAAACAAAGAAAAAAAATATATCCTTATATTTGAATTAATAAATAATCAACTTAAACTAATAAATAATTAAATAAAGACTTTGACTTAACTAAATTTTAATTTATAATAAACTAATTAAAAAATAAAATTTTTAAAGATATTTTTATTTTTTTAATCAAATATTAACCGAATTTGACTAACATAGAAAATATCATTTTGAAACTTATAAAGTATCATTTTGAAATAAAATACCGTTTTGTGGGTAGGAAAATGTTGTCCTCCCGTGAACAAATCCCTTCGGCCGGAACGCCAACCCCTTGGGCCTTAGGTTTGTTTACGGGAACTTTACCCACTGTTAAAACCTGAATTTTTATTTTAGTTAAAATTAATTAAATAAATAAATCTCTCTTTTTCCCTCTCGGAAGGCAAAACGGTGCGTTTTATCATTTTAGTGGCATTTCTGAGCCTGATCGGGGCTTGACTGTTGTCGTGTCGAGTCAGTAACAGTTATTGAGTCAAACAGTAAAGAGTCAGTGCTTACTGGAGCAAGAGATGGAGACGAAGAGCGGCAACGCTAGCTCAACGATGATACTCCATAACGCGGTGATAGTCACAATGGACAACGAAAGCAGAGTATTTCGAAACGGAGGCGTTTTTATTGCACGAGATCAAATCAAAGCCATTGGTCAATCTGCCGATATTCTTCGACAGTTTTCCTCGTTGACCGATCAACTCGTCGATCTTCACGGCCGAATCCTACTTCCTGGTAATCTGTACATCTCTGTCGGAACCAATTAACATGAATCAGTTTTTGTTTCTGAAAGAAAGTGAAGTGTTTTCGGAATGAAAGCATTTACTCTTATTAGTGTTAATATTCAAATTATGGTTGTTTATGATAGGATTGATTAATACTCACGTTCACACATCTCAACAACTAGCAAGAGGGATAGCTGATGACGTGGATTTGATGACCTGGTTACACGATCGAATCTGGCCTTATGAATCTAACATGACCGAAGAAGATTCTTACATCTCCACTTTACTCTGCGGAATTGAACTCATTCACTCTGGTGTAAGACATAAGAGAAAACGCTGCTTTTTTTTTTTTTTTTTTTTTTCTATATGAGAGTTTCTTTACAGGTTGTTTCGATGTAAGTGATGGTGGTTGGCAATTTTGGGAAATAGGTAACGTGTTTTGCTGAAGCAGGAGGGCAGCATGTAACTGGAATGGCTAAAGCAGTTGAGTTACTGGGTATACGCGCATGTTTAGTCCAGTCAACGATGGACTCCGGTGAGGGTTTACCTGCTTCTTGGGCGGCTCGAACTACTGATGATTGTATTCAGGTTGTTCATAATTTGGTATTTTCCGTAGAATGCTTGAAAGTTTAAGTATGATTCAATAATGTTATGTGCTTTATATATAACCACTCACAGTTATATCAACTTCATGGATTTATGGAGGTAATCCATTTTGTGCTTTAAGATTCTTTTGTGAGCTTAAGTTAAATTGTACTTAGATATCTTGCATTCTGGATTTAACTGAAGATTTTTATGCTTTTGGATCTCAAGAGGAGTTTTTCAGTTAAAGAATGGATTGTACAGTGTGCTGTCTCGTTTTATATGTGCTTTAATGTAGCTATGGCTAGCCCTGAGAAGCTTGTGTTTAGAAATTTTATACCTACTTAATTGTTTACACAGACAGATGTTACATTTTCATCTGATTGAATAATTAGTTTTATGACTTGAGCAATTTTTATATGACTGAAGCTAATTTTCTTACTTCACGGATGCAGTCTCAGAAGCAGCTTTACGAGAAGCACCATAATACAGCTGATGAGCGCATTAGAGTATGGCTTGGGATTAGGCAAGTCATGAATTCAACTGACGCTTTGCTACTTAAAACAAGAGATACAGCTAGAGAACTGAAAACTGGAATCCACATGGTACTGAGCTCTTCCTTTTGTTCTCTGTCAGTTGCAGATGAAGATTGTACATGTTTCTGAGGATTCAAATTATGTTGTTCTGATGCATGCTGAAATCTTCTTTTTAGTATATTGTTAAAACATTGCTGTCCATGCAGGTATAGGTGATAGGATGGAACCTGAAAGAGTGTGGTGTAGAGTGTTCATCATTTTAATTTGTCCATTTAGTCATTTTAGTAATTTATCATTTCTATTTGAAATTATAAGATATGGAGACATGGCATCTAATGCAATGTGGACTTCATATGGTACTGGATAAAAATGTTAGAAATGAACTTGAAGACGTAGTATTGAATTACTGTGAGAGCCTTTCTTTCTTCTTTTCGGAAAAAAATATAGGAGTTATATCCTTATTTCCTTCTTCACTTTGAATTTATTCAGCCTAAGCACGGGAATTTCTGTATAAAAGTAGGATGAACAGAGTCCAAAAGATTCTGTTTCCAAAATAGATTGGCTGACTTTTTCAGTGTTAAGCATGTTGCAGAGATACCCTATGAGAATCAACTTGTGATGGATACTCGAGAGGTTGTTCATGGAACAGTTACATATTTGGACAAGATAGGATTCCTGCAAAACAACTTGCTTTCGGCCCATACCGTTTGGGTAAACAGCACTGAGGTAAATTGTTGCTCATAGTTAGTGTTGCAGGTTTGGAAATTTTTTCTATTGTGCGCAATTTTTTCATCAATGCACCAGCTTTAGATAAAATCAGTTTATTAACTTTTCTGCAAAAAAATCATTTCTGTTTGTGCTTGATTGACATGACAAGTACATTAACTGAGTTCACACTTAAATGTGAATTGGATTTGGGTCCAATGGTTCCTTCAGGAAGCAAGTGTATGTACAAACTGGAGATTTTTATTTTTATTGTGACTGTATATGTGAATAGATATTTGATGTGTGATACGTTATTCACTCGCTACTTGTGATGAACCATGACAATAATATATGATAGTTGTCATCATGTTATCTTCAGATTGGTTTCCTCTCAAGGACTGGTGTCAAAGTATCTCACTGCCCTGCTGCTGCAATGCGTATGCTAGGGTTTGCACCTATAAAGGAGATGCTTAAGGCTGACATCTGTGTTTCCTTGGGAACAGATGGGGCACCATCAAACAATAGGATGAGCATTGGTCTGTTCCTTGCTTTGTTATTCTCATTCTTCTTCTGTATTTGGTAATACCATACCACTAGGGTGTTGGCTTGCTTTGCATGCATATCCTGGACACACTTTGTAGTTTACACCTTTAAAAAGTACAAAAATATAACATGCATAAATTTCTAAACACATAAGCAGAAAAACTCAGAGTGTTCTTGTAGAGCAGTAGAGGTACTGTCATATTCTTTGGGTCTTATTGAGCAACCAATAACTCAGTGGAAATGGTTTAAGTACTGGTTAGTTATGTAAGGGGAAAAAAAAAGTTGTTTCAAAAATTTTCTCAAGTGCAAGAATGCTTTGGGTTGGTAATTGCTTAAAAAATTTATCTGTGGATTTACCTTTTTGCAGTTGATGAGATGTATCTAGCTTCTTTGATTAATAAAGGAAGAGAAGTTTTTGCAAATGGAACAACCGATCCAACAGCTCTCCCTGCTGAAACAGTTCTCAGAATGGCGACAATAAATGGTGCAAAATCAGTTCTATGGGACAATGAAATAGGGTCGCTTGAGATTGGGAAAAAGGTTAGATTACTACTGTGTTAGATTGGTTTATCTTCTTTGTGTCTCTAATGTGCTGAATAGGGTAATGCAGTGTTTAATTCTTTATGGAGGTACAACTTTAGAGTTTGGCCTTCTGAATTTTCTACTTTGTGTCTCCTCTTGAGAATATTTTCTAAACAAGTTCTGAAAATATTTAACTTGTAAAAGGAATTGCTGGAGTGTGTCAAATATACCATGTCAGCTATGCTGGACTATCTGATGCAGGAAAGAACAGAATTTTATTTCATTTTTAATTAGTGTGCAACGATATGTGTCCATCAACTACCAAACCAAAAGGAAAGAAACTTGTGAGCAGCAGAAATTTTTTTTATATAGCGTATCCGCAGGTTGCTGAAACAAAAAGTTTATTTGACAATCTAAATAAACTTTGCAGAATTGAAAAATCAGAAAGAAAAAGAGGTGAAAAGAGTAGAAGCAGCATTTTGGAGAACAGTTTCTTTTTGTAATGAAAAAATTTGACAAATAATGAATTTAGCTGCTAGAACACATATTTTATAAATGAACAATGTTTAGGTCATATTCTCTGTTGGATACTGATTAGTAGTCCTTCTGCATGCTTTTGCTAAAAGAGGCTTACTGATATGTGCCTTCTGATTTGGTAGGCCGATATGGTTGTGGTTGATCCTTTCTCTTGGTCGATGGTTCCTGTTCACGACTGGTATGTAACTATGCTGTCATTTCATTTCATGACATGAATTTTAACTGATCCATTATTGTACTTCTCCATATTCCGAAGAAGACGTTCTTCTGTCTCTTTAAACAAATACTCAATGTGACTTTGGTGATCAACCTCATCTGATGATGACTTTATGGGACTTCAGAAGTTATTCTGTGTTATGACTTGTCAGTAGAATTCCAAATTTGTAAGGATTAATCATTGGCCATATAACTATTCTCTACAGATTCTTTTCCTACTATTCACTGGCAAAATTTCTTGTAATGATTTATCTATTCATTCTCTACAACCTAGCCAGTTAGTAAATTACATTAGTTGGATTCATTTTTTGCTTCACCTATTGCAGGATTACAAGTCTTGTGTATTGCATGCGAACAGAGAATGTTGTCTCTGTGATGTGCAATGGCCAGTGGATTATGAAGGATAAGAAAATCTTGAGTGTAGATGAGGTATTGTGCTGTGCATTTCTTTTGCTTCTCTTTTTGATATTCCAGTTGATGCCTTTCAAGTTAAAATCATGCTTATGCATTTTAGTTAATTGTAGATTTAAGTACATTATCATCAATTTGATGGATTCCATGACATTGCCACATGCTCTAATTGGAAGCTTGGGCGCTGTAGTACATGCAATTTCTGAACCATTATATTAACATTTACCGTTTCCAATCGATCTGTATTCATACATATTTTACCAAAAGTTACTGTTGTATACCTTATGTTCTAGGCTTACTAATGGATGTTAATTTTTATGGGACAGAGAGCAATTATTTCAGCGGCAAAACAAGCTTCCACCGAACTTTTGAAAAGGGCGGGCATTACATTGCCAAACAGGATGAATGTTCTCTGACCGTTATCGACTTGGACAATCTCGTAATAACAAATGCTTCTTGTTGTTATTTTATTTGAAATGTAAATTAATTATGTAATTTGTCTGTCATACAGTTCAGTATTTGATTACATGGCCTTCTCAGTGCATGATATTTATTTGTGTTTAGTAAAAAAAAAGAGTTTGTGATAAAAATGGTTATTTAATTAAATTTAACATCGTATTCGTAATCGTAGCTGATTTTGGAAGGGAGAGAAAAATCCACTATTGAAATTGAAAACTTACGTCAGATGATTACCGAATCCCATATACGTCATACAATATGTTGAGGAAGCAGCTTAAGACTTTAGGGTGCGGAGCAGATGATCCAATTTCAATAAACCGCACGGTCCTACTCCCGCGCTAAAATTAAAGAAGAATCTCCACTACTCTAGAACATAAAACGGTCAGGCCCTTTATCCAAAAATATCTTCCCTCCCTGCATCTTCTGGAACTTTCAAGCACAACAAAGAATACCTTATAAATCTCGAGCACAAAACATATCTCTCAACACAACCAAAACAAAAATACAAAATCAGGAAAGCATTTCAGATCAAAGAATTTTTTTGTTTCTATATTCTCTGACGAGATAATGGATACTCCGTTTTACGGAAGCTTCTGGAATTTGCCTTCTCGCCCTCGTCAAGCGCCGATTGTCAGAGAAATACCGGTCCACTACGTCGGTTCGGAGCAGCGCGTGGATAGATCCGGTTCGGCCGTGAAGATCCAGAAGGTGTTCAGAGGTTTCCTTGTGAGAAAAAGCGTGAAGAAGATCGTGGAGATAAGAAAGAAAGTTGAGGAGATCGAGAAGCGGATTTCAGAGAAAGACACTGTCGATTGGATTAAAAGCGACGCAAAGGAGCGATTAAGAGTTAATGAGATTTTGATGAATTTGCTCTTTAAGTTGGATTCGGTGAGAGGCGTTGATTCGGGAGTTAGGGATTGTAGAAAAGCGGTTATTAAGAAAGCAATATCACTGCAAGAACTAGTTGACGCCATAGTTTCTGGTAATGCTGATGTGGAATTGGATCACGCTGAACAGATTATTGAAGCTATTGATGAGACGGTGATGGAGTGTGCAAAAGATGGTGGAAATCGTGATGGTTCAGTGCAAGACGATGCGGAACTTGTGGATGATGAAGAAAATAAAAGAGTTGTCGACAATCGAAGCGATGACTTAGACCGAGAGGTGGTTGAAAATTGTGAGGTGAAGACACCGGCGAGTGATTATTTGGAAGAGAGTGTAGGAACGAATCAGACTGAGTCACAGTCCGATTCCTCTGCAAATCCTCAGAGTTTGATCGAAGCGTGTGAAGAAGATGTTAATTCATCATTGAAGGAAGAAAACGATGCCGTTGAAACACAAGAAGCAGAAGATAGGGAAGTGAATGGAAAAGAAAATAGAACAGGAGATGAGAATACGAGGAACAGAGAGCTGTTGGAGAGGATGATAGAAGACAATGAGAAGATGATGGATATGATGGCGCAGTTATTCGAGAGGAATGAAAAGCAGACGAAGTTGTTAAACTCGTTATCACATAGGGTTGAGCAGCTGGAGAAGGCTTTTGTGTGTGAGAGGTTGAGGAGGAAGAAGAAGAGAAATTCTGGGACGGTTGATAGCTGCGAAACGTCACCGGATAACAAGAAATGCGGCAAAAGATAGAGAGTTTTAAGGATTATTTGTATTTTGTAAATTCCATTAGAAGTTGATGTTGATGTGTTTCTTTTACTATGTTTTTTATGTTTGTAAGTAATAAGAAGTTCCCCTTGCTTAACTCTGATATTCTGTTGTGGATTAAATACGTGTTACTTGGAAAGGATGAAGATTATGATCACATGGTTCGATTTCAATTTGACTGTGATTGAGAATTAATAGAAAAGAATAGTAACAAAAAGAAATACCAGTTACATGGAGGTTGGATAAGGGCATGATATTTATTCTTAATGTCTGTCAACCTTCTACCTTTTCTTCCTACCGAGCAGTATGGCAAGATAAATATGTTCTGGAAATATCAAACAGGGGGTAGAAATATAGGGGAATGTCATTAGAAAAGTTGCCTGAAGTTTATGTCATTGGAGGTAATCCATTTCATTCATCTTTCATCATGGATTATATCTAGAAAATGTCTCCCTAATCTTTGTGAATTGTATATAAATCTCGGATGAGGTTGTTCCAATCGTCGTCCCTGCTATGAACTTGGAACCTAGAACTTCGGCGTAGCATGAGTTTAGAGATGAAGAATGTTCTTTTGGTTCGCGGGCAGGCTTCACTAGTTTGGATATTCAACCCACGTAAATTTTGGGAGGCTTCTTGTTAAAACTAAACTTTTATCTGCTGCTTCTTCTATCTTCTTTGTAGTACAAATCTTGTAGTTGTTGATGAGCACTTTATATTCATCTATACTTGGCTTTTGAGAATCCTTTTTTTCATCAATTGATGTAAAAAGTTGCAAGAAATTCTCTTGACACACGATAGGAAAACTTAAATTTGCCTGCAACTGTTCTACTTCTTCTGCTCCAGTATCCTCTTATCATCTACGAGGCTTGCCATTCTTGACTCGTCAAATATGGTGTGTTTTGCGGCTAGATTCTCCCAATACTTAAGAGAATTTTTCTGAATTTGGAAGGACAGCGTTACTTCCATCCACAAAACTGGTGTAGGAACACCCAAGTTAGCATTGGACTACTATAATGTTCATGACAACAATAGTATTTTTGCATTTTACAGATATAGTAGCCTGCCAAAAGGTATCTCCTTGAGTGACTGGGTGGGGCGATAGAGACTCTTGAATGTAATATTCGAGCGGTCCGATGGATTTATCTAATCGTTAATTTCAAGGTAAAAGAGATTAGTTGAGGTACACGCAACTTGTCCAGTCACCAAAAAAAAAAAAAAAAAAAAATCAACATTCTCTTGTTTTCATGGAGCAAGACGGTCTGATTTCGCTGCATTGTATGCTAGACATGTAAAATTGGTGCTTCTAATTTAAGTTGTGATTAGTGATTACATACATAAAGGAGATTTCTAACCCGGAATGATACGGAGCCTGGGCCCGGGAGGCCCTTCAAAATGGGGCCGCCCATAATTTTGGCAAACAGCCCAAAGAAAAAACAGGTCATTCGTTTTGTCATTTTTGTTTTCTCTTCACTGATTTTTTGAACTTTATTAAATATCTATATAAGGTTACATAATTGTAGAATTGCTCTAGACAATAAGTCATAGGACTTTCCCGTTATTGCCTTACTTAAAATGAGCTTAGTTTAGCTCTTTAAATGTTTAACCCTAATATATTACTAAAATATTTCCTTTTCTTGATTAATATTTAAATTCAAAATTAATCCATAATTTCTTCAAAAATGTTTTATCTCTCATATTTTTATTAAATTCTTTTTTTAATTATAATAAATGGAAGGGCAATTGTGTAGCGCAAACCTAAATCCCAACCGATTTTAAATTAAAACAGTATGAAGGTAGATTTATTGATTGATTTTGATTCATGGATTTATGATTCATAGATTTATGATTAATTGATTTAGCTGTTCTGACCACCCAAACCCTCTTTAGTCTTTACCCTTTTCTTCCTCTCTCTCTCTCTCAATCTATCTAATCCCGTCTATTCTCTCCCTCTCCCTTCGCTCTTGGACAAAAAATTCGAAACTCTTTGCAAAAAAAAAAAAGACTTGAACCATTTAATACGCACAAATACATACAACCTTCCTATTGAATCCCGTCTCTTCTCCTTCACTTGTTTTCTCTATTTGCTTTGTTACTCCTATCATTGCCTGCCTCTCTTTCTCTCTCGCTCTGTTTTTTTTTTTTTTTTTGTTGTGTTTCTTCTTTCGATCGTTATTACTGTATTCGATGGCTGAAGGCAAGTACGATCCACCCGACGATCTCCTCTCCTCTAAACCCTCCGATCGTCCCTGGACTCCAAAAGGTATTCTTCTATTTTTCATTTCATTCGATTAATCGCAATCTCGAATTTATAGTTAATGCCAACGTTTTTATTCGTTGATCTCCATTTAATTTTCTGTTTCTGAACTTAGCAATAATTAATTCGTTAGGTTTTTTTTTTTTTTTATAATTTTTTTTATTGGTTGATTGATTTGAATTTGAGATTTTTTTGGATTATGATTTTTTTTTTTTTTTTTTAAATGTCACATTGGCATCTGGCATTGAGGACTTCAGCATTTGAATTTCTATAAAGTAAATCGGAAAATATCTTGTTTCACTGATGATTGTTATGGTATATTAGCTCGATTGTTTAGTGGATAAAAAACCTAAGTTGTGTATCATTTTTGTGCTTGTCGTTTATTTCCAGGGGGTGCATCAGGGGGAAATGAGGATAAGGTCCATTTGGGGATACTTGATGATTCCAAAGGTGGAACACGTTTGATCTTATCTGTTTATATATCTTTCATTTTGTGCTCATTGTCATTTATGTGTTTTTCTATTTTGTGTGAGTAATCTGGTTGGTTGATTGATTAATGAACTGCAGATCATTTGACGTCAGAAAGCAGTATTCCATTGTCTCCCCAGTGGCTTTATGCTAAACCAAGTGAAACCAAGATGGTACGTATTTGTTGGCAGTGGAATCTCTATATTATAACTTATTAGCCAATACTTTATCAATTGCATCTTTTACGGTTGACAGATTCACTTATCAATCATCTAGATTTGATTAATTGTTATGAGGTTCTTTTTATTTTTTTCTTTCCTGAAATTGCTAGTTTTGGTGTTTTCCCAATTTAATTGAGTTTGCCATGTGTGTGTATGTATTCATTTTTGACATTTACGTAGTGTCATTTATGAAGGAGTATATTAATAATAATTTAGCACATCTAAATATAATATATGTAATTTGTTACTGTGCATTCACTTCCAGTTGTTCAGAGAAATTATGGACATTCTAAATAATCACACTTCAATATTTATGGTAATCCACCAATTTAAGTTCCAGCTTATAATTATAGGTGCCTTAGTTGTGTCAGGAGACGTTATTTCTAGTTGGAACATTTTTCTGGAGTTCTTTTTCTTTTTTTTGAATGACAGGATGTGCGTGCTCCAACTTCTGTCTCTCTTGGAAACTCCACTGATTCCAACCTGAAGGAGAGCTGGCGTTTGGAAGGATCTGAGGACAAAAAGGACTGGAGGAGGAGTGTTACAGATGGTGACAGTAGCCGCCGCTGGCGTGAAGAGGAAAGAGAAACTGGCTTACTTGGTGGTAGAAGAGATCGCAGGAAAGTAGACCGTCGTAATGACAGTGTTTCTTCTAGAGATACAGCTGACAATAGAGCTTTATCGTCTTCTGACCGATGGCATGATGGTAACACACGGCGCGATAGCAAATGGTCTTCTAGGTGGGGTCCGGAAGACAAAGAGAAGGAAACCCGAACCGAGAAGAGAACAGATGTGGAGAAGGAGAAGGAAGATGCTCACACTGACAATCAATCTTTTGTAAGTAGCAACCGCTCAGCTTCCGAGCGTGACACAGATGCTCGGGATAAATGGAGACCTCGCCATAGAATGGATCCTCATTCTGCTGGTTCTAGTTCATACCGTGCTGCGCCTGGATTTGGACTTGAGAGAGGACGAATGGAGGGTTCAAATGTGGGGTTTACTATTGGACGAGGAAGGTCAAATGTTATTGGGAGGGCTTCGTCTATAGGCCCCATTGGTGCTGCTCATCCATACCAAAGTGAAAGTGCCTTAGGGAAATCTGGCCTCTTAGCTGAAACTTTTTGCTACCCTAGGGGGAAGCTTCTTGACATTTATCGTAGGCAAAAGTCTGATCTATCTTTTGCTACCATGCCCAGTGAAATGGAGGAATTATCCCCTATTACTCAAGGAGCTTTAATTGAACCATTGGCTTTTGTTGCCCCTGACAGGGAAGAGGAGGTAAAGACTAAAGATTTACTAGTCGGATATGTGATTTGTTAATTTTCCAATAAAAAGTTTTCAATTAATTAATTTTTTTGTGCCTCACTTTTGATTACTGGATGCTGGCAGGCTGTCCTTGGTGATATATGGAAGGGAAAGATCACAAATAGTGGGGTGGTATTCAACTCACTGAGACAGGGGAGATCAACTGATTTTGCCTCAGGTATTTTTTATTTTTTTTGTTGATTTACTCCAATTTTCTGCACTTGTTGTTTGAGACAACCAACCTGTCCCTTGGCTAGGTCCTGAAGACTTGGAATCCACTGAGGGAAAGAAGGGTGTCCTCCCTGCAGATATTGATGAAACTGTTCAGACATTGCGGGAAGCTGGAAATGTTGCATATCAATTTGATGACAATGGTACCTTGAAGGATTATGGTTTACATGTGACTGTGGCAGACGGTGAGTAATATTTTGGTGTAGTTCTTGAAAATAGGCTTATATAGATCTTGTTCGAGAAATGTTATATATATATATATATATATATATAATTCTCCATTATACTCACTATCTTAAACTGAAGCCAAATTCCCAACTTTGGTCTGAGTAAGATTTAATTTGAGTATGAGAGACCTTACCAGTTAAGTTAGTTGGTACCCGTACTGTTGAAACAAGGTTATTTGTACATGTATGCAACTGAAAGTAATTGGATGTGTACTATTTCAGGAAGAGAGGTTAATTATGAAGAACATAAATCAGACTTGGATGGAAGGTTCTCAACTCTCTCAAAAAGCAATGGTGTTAGCAGTGCCATAGCCATTGATGGTGCTTATCATTATGGTGAAAATTGGCAAATGGAGGATTCAACTTTGAATAAACAGCCTCAGTTTGATAACATTGACTCTGCTGCTTTTGACGTCAGATCCAAGCTTCCTGATGATTCAAGCTCTCTGTTGGATACAGCATCATCTGAGCAAAAACAGGGTAGCAATATGCAAGTGTTGGGGAGTATGGGGAAAGACTTATCAAGGGGTACTCCACCAGAGCAACAAATTTTGTACTACATTGATCCTCAAGGGGCAACTCAGGGACCATTTCTTGGTGCAGACATTCTTTCATGGTTTGAACAAGGTTTTTTTGGGACAGACTTACCTGTTCGCCTGGCTGATGCTCCTGAAGGAACACCTTTCCAAAGTTTGGGTGAGGTGTGGCAACATCTGAAGGATAAAGATAGGAATGTCAGTTCTAACGATCCAAATTCTGAGCTGGAAAAATTTGACTCTTTGGGAGGAAATTTAGAGGCTGCTTTACCTGTGTCTGCTCCTGTTTCAGCAATTACAGGTTCATCCTTGGTAAATGACATGAACCAACCTTTGCCTGAGTTTGACAATCTCTCAACTCAACATCTGCAGTCAGGATTATCAGAGCTTGAAGCTCCTTTACAATTGCTCCATTCTGAAGGTCAAAGCATTCAAGATTTTGCTGTACAAGATGAAGGTTTGTATATATGTACATTGATATTTTGGTTTGTTTGGTTGTTTTTTCCCTAAAGCCCATGCTAATTGGTTGATTTTTACTTGCTCCAGAAATCTTGTTTCCAGGAAGAACAGGGAATACTGGATATCCTATTGTAAAGTCTTCTGGGAACATTCATGATACTAGTGTCCAGCCCTCTCGTCCAACTGAGTTGATAGATTCTGGCATTGCAATTCAGAATGATAATAAGTTGCATCCTTTTGGCTTGCTGTGGTCGGAGCTTGAAGGAACTCACACAAGACCTACAAATGTGCCGTCTGGTGTGGGAAGGACTGCTCCATACGGTGCGATGGCTGATCCAACTCTTGCTGCAGAGACGCAGTCGGATATTTATAGAAAAAACATACTTGCTGACCCCATTGTGTATCAAGATCCTATGGCTGCTCACCATATGCGACGCATGGAACAGGAATCCAACCATTTTGATCTAGCAGAGCAGCTTTTGTCTAAACAATTGCAGCAACAGCAGCTCCAACAGCGAAATATGTTTCCTCATACACGCCTGAATGAATCAGTTTTAGAACAGTTGCCAAATCAGAATCTGATTCATCAACAACAGTTGGCAAACCATCCAGCTCCAGATATGGAACATTTCTTGACCCTTCATCTGCAACAACAGCGTCAGCTTGAACTTCAACATCATCAATTGCAGCAACAGCAGCAGTTTCATCAACAACAAAAGCTTTTGCAGGAGCGACAGCAATCACAAGCTCGACAGGTGCTTTTTGAGCGGTTGATGCATGGTCAAATGCCTGATCCTGCCCTTGGGCACTCACATATTGACCCAATAAGAGCAAACAATGTTCTCGATCAGGCTTTATTAGAGCAACGCCTTTTACATGAGATGCAGCAACGGTCTCATCATCCTCAAAAGCATTTTGTTCCATCTTTAGATCAGCTTGTGCAAATGAAATTGGGTCAGATGCCACCACAAGATAATCAAAGAGAACTGTTTGAGTTAATGTTACGTGCTCAACATGGACAAATGCCAGCGTTGGAGCATCAGATTCTTCAGGACCAGATCCGAGCAAGACAGTTATCAATGGGATTAAGGCAACGAACCAATGTGCAGGAAGGGAGACATATTGATTCTATTTGGCCAGCTGATGAGCCTGATCAGTTTCTTAGGAATCTTTCTGGTGCTCACTCCTCAGGGTTTAGCCCACTAGATATTTACCAGCAGCAACAGAGGCCACCTCATGAGGAGCAGCTGGGTCAGCTTGAACGGAATCCTTCATTACAAGAGCAGCTGCAGCAAGGAATTTTTGAGCCTGGCTCACTGTCATTTGAGCGGTCCTTGTCTTTGCCTGCTGGTGCTTCAGGGATGAATTTGAATGCACTTAATGCTATGGCTCATCATCATGGTTTGGATGTAAAGGAGTTGAGCTCACGTATGCAATCTGCTGGTCATGCAGGGACATTTCCTTCTGGCATTCACCCTCATAATCTTCACCACCCTTTAGCCTTGAACCAGTTCAATGCTTCACATTTGGATGCAGTGGAGGGTCGCTGGGCTGAAAACAATGGGCAGCTTGCGAATGAGTGGGTAGAATCTCGAATACAACAGTTGCACATTAATGCGGATCGGCAGAGAAGGGAGGCAGAAGTTAAAATGGATTCTGAAGATCCAAGTTTATGGATGTCAGATAGGTCCCATGATGACAAGTCAAGGCAATTGTTGATGGAGTTGCTCCACAAGAGATCAGGTCATCACCCTGCTGAGTCATTGGACATGAATATGAATGTTGTACCCTTTGGAAGGAGTTCACCATCTGGAATCTACTCTGGGTCAAGCTCTTCCAATCACCCGTTCAGTATTCATTCAGACCGAGAAGCTGGTCCAAACAATTCATTTACCGTAGGATCTTATGGTTCTAATTCATCTGACCCACAGCAGGTATATGTAGCTGACAAGCAGGCTAACAGTTTTGATAGCAGTGAGAAATTATGGTTAAGACCTGAATCCGGAGCATTCTCCGAGGGAGAGCCATTCTTGTCTGTTGTGAATGAAGGTGCTCAGGTAATTTACACTGATTCTAACATGATTGGTCAGTCTTCTGTAAACAAAGAGTTTTCCAATGTGGATGCAAGGAAGCATGGGTCCAAAAGTGAAGATATGATTAAGGGTTCCGTTTTTGAAGTTCAAGATGGAATGGCCAAGCAAGCAGGTTTGGCTACTTTAGATCGGGTGGATATTCCAACTAATCCTCTTAACAGACATAATTCACATGTTGCAGGTAATTTTCTTCTCCTTTAGCTTATTCTATAGCCCTGCATTTTGTTGGAGTGATATTGATATTTTCTGAATCTATTTTTAGGTAGTGATACAGGTTTTTATGATTCTTTCAACGAAGATATTTCCAAGGATAAGTAAGTATCATTTCTCTGAATTTCTTTGCTGCTGAGGTGTAGGAAAAAGTATTTACACAAAAAAAAAAAAAAAAAAAAATGTAAAGATATGCTCTTTTAGAGAAACTGTATTAAAGAACATGGATAGGCCACTTTTGGAAAATAGTTACTAATTAGCTTTCCTAACATATTTACCTCAGTGAAATTGCAGTTGGTACTGGGTTTACCAAGTTAGCAAGTTTGTTATCCCATTGCATGCATGATCTTTTTTATGATGGACTGTATAATTTTTCATGCCTATGTCATGATTTATGAAAGTATAATTAATGGATGTGTGAGCTTGAAGCATGGATGGAAAACAGCATAATTATTTGGTGACTGGACTGGAACATGCCTTTAATCATGTCAATGCTTTCATCTATGATGTCTGATCAATATCAGACATTTATTCGGATCAATCTTCTTTATCCTATCCATTACCCTGGATTTGGGCATTTTAGAATACTGCTAACCCTATGTGTGGCCTGCTTGTTGGGATAAATACAATATTTATAACCTATTTTGTAATGCTTTTCTTACCTTGAGATTCTCTTTAACAGGGTGCTAGTAGCATCCAGGATTCAAGAAAATATTTTGCTGAGACGTCCACCAGTCTCACGTGCTTCATCATCCCAGGAAGGATTATCTGATCTCACCCCTAATCCAGCTATCAGAGGAAAAGTTTCGTCTAGTACGGATGGTATTGATATCTTTTAAATTTCCTAATTTATGTATTTGATTTCCGGAGGGACAGGGGATGGGGGATAGTGGTATTTTTTAATCAGGAACCCGTGTCACTTATGGTACCCTGCAGTTGGTAACTTTGCTTGAAGCAAATGTAGAGGATCTGCTTGCTTTGTTTTCTTAGTGGTGAGGGTAGAGACGGAATTTGAAGTGCATGAATTTAATTTCTTTTATTAGACTGGCAAATAATTTATATATGTGAAATTGCAGGGAGGCAAGATCCCGGGGGAAATCCTGTAAGCCAAGGTTCAGACATAACTTCTGGGAAAAAAGAAATGAGGTTTCGCCGCACCTCATCCTGCAGTGATGCTGATGTTTCAGAGCCGTCATTTATAGACATGTTGAAGAGTAATACAAAGAAAAATGTTGCGCCAGACGCCCACGCGGCAATGGGGATGACAGATCCAGATGGGACACAAGGTGGTCGAAGTGGTAAAAAGAAAGGAAAGAAAGGGAGGCAAATCGATCCTGCTCTCTTGGGTTTTAAAGTTACAAGTAATCGCATCATGATGGGTGAAATCCAGCGCTTAGATGATTAGCCCAAATAATTTTGTAGTCTCCATGTAATGCCCCTTTTCTTAGTTGTATAGGTTGAGATGAAAATTATTTGATTTTTTTTTTCCGTATACATGTTCATTTCGATACAGGAAAGATTCCTGGTCTAGGACTAGGATATTTTTTACATCCATAGAGTAGTCTTGTATAGACTAACAAGTTTTACAAGGCAAGATCATTTCTTTGTAGAATCTTGTAGAAAATTCGGTGATTTTTTTTTTTTTTTTTAACTTCACGTGGCTGAACTTATACGAGTTTAAATAAGAATTAACATTTGCTTCTCGGCTTCTGAAACTGCCGGACTTTTAGAAGGTTATGCAAATGTTTGAAATTGAAACCTAGTTGGGACAGAAGATTAATCTGTAATTGTTTGATAATTTTGGAAAGAAAGTTGTAAGAAAATGCAATTGATTGTAACTGTAGCTAAAATTCTCTTAACTATTAATGAAAAGTGAGAGAAACATAATTCTTGTTAAGTAAAACCAGTGATATTTTTTATCGGAATAACCTTTACTGTCATAAAAAAATTTAGTCTTAACTCGGGATAGTTATAAACATTGTATTAAAACTAGGATCAGAGGGTAACCTGTTTTGGTGTTTGGGTCATGAGTCAACCAGTCCAACTGGTTGGACCGGCTAGTTGGACCGATGATATCAGCGATAATTTTATTTTTAAAAAATTATTATTAATCCCTTAAATTTTAATATATTATAAAAATTTCCCTAAAAAAGTTCAATTAGTCCCTAAAATTTTTATTTATTTAAAAAATGCCCCAAAAAATTACCACTTAATCCATAAACTTTTGACATATCTCCAAAACACCCATATAAAATTACAAATTAACCCCTATAATTTTGAAATATTATAAAACCCCCCTAAGACCTGAACTAGATCGGAGAAGCTGCCAGGCCCCAGTAGGACCTGTCCAATTTTTAAAACAAAGGTTATAAATAAGAATAAACTCTAAATTGTAATAAATTATAATTTTTTTAATTCTTATCTTAAGAAAATTGTCTTCACATAGTAATAATATACTGTTACATTAAAGGTGTAAAATAAAATAAAATATTAATCTAAAATTGTTTGGAACAATGATTAATGTTTTAGAGTTGTTACCACATATATTAACTTGCGAATACGTAATAACTCGTTAACATGAACACCTTCTTGTTTGAGCCAAAATATTTTTAGCTTCTCAAGCATGTTTAGAACTTCTTAACTGAAAATTTTTTGTATTTCCGTACTATCATCCTCAGAATTATTTACTTTATCTTCTTGTCTAATTACAGCAATGACTACTAAAATAACGAATTGAATCCTAATACATACTACTAAAACGTGAATTATAAAATAAGAAATGAAAATAATAATTTTTGTAACTATACCTCTATTTAGTTATAACCTCTTTATTGTAATAAATTAGTTTGATCCCACTATTATGACTATGGAGAGGTTTTACTGTATAATGTATCTAATTTTACGGATAGGTAGTATTACATCATTAATAATTTACTATTGCTTATGGAAGCCATTGATCTTGGAAAAGTTGCATGATTGTTCCACCCATGATCCACTCCAACTCAGAAGATGACAATTTTGCTTCATTGGCAATGAGAGACACTGCTTCTTTTCCTTCTTTATAACCACATTCAGCAACAACGTATGGAAAATCACTGTAAAAAACATGTATAGAATAGACATTAATGTTTTCAATTGCATTATTTGAACATTTATACAGTATCTAGTGTGTTTGATTGGAAAATGGAGATGTTACCTGCCCCACATAACACGGTTTGCGCCAAAGCTGGAGACAACTTGAGAGAGAAGAGATGATAGATCCTGGTATGGGAATGCCATTCTAGACAGCCTAAACAGAGCACTGAATTTGATATATACCTGTAAAAATTAAATTTCCAAATCACATTTTAAGTACGTAAAATACTGCCCTAAAAAAAAAATAATAATAGTATATATTGGTGCCAGCCTGAAGTTCAAAAGTAAAAAGGAGTCCAGAAAGAGCTGCTTTTGATTCCAATATCTAGAGAAAAATAGGAATAAAAAGATGGTGTTCTCTAACGATGGTGATAAAATTTGCAAATGAAAGCAAAGCTTTGGAAAAGTCACATGGTACGCTATACCTGTGGGAACCTGGATAGCTTTAAAAGCCTTGAGAAGGCAAGACTTTCATCATCATTTCTGCAAGATAACACATGAATAGTGAGGATAACACAAAAATTTTAACAGGCTTCTTGAGCAAAGTCAAATTTATAAGGGAGCTCACGTTGGCTGTTTGCAGAAACCCAAATGATCAAGCAACACAGTTGTTGAAGGAAATTCATTGCATAGTTCCTCAATTTCTGAAATGTGTAGATTAAGACCCTGAAAATGCCCATGGTTTTACTATCACATTACTCTAACCAATCATGTTTAGAACTAATGTGTCAGTCGTTTGCCAGGAGATCAAGGTGGTCAATGTAATTTTAATTGCATAAATTGCTGATTAAGATACAGTAGCTCCATATTAGAATGTAGCAATCAGTCAAGTCAGACAAAAAATTTCACCAATTCTTTTTTTTTTTTTTTTTTTTTTTCTCTTATTTTGATTTAATGGAGTTAGGGAAGAATTGTAATACCTTCATACACATGAAACCCACCGGCACTCCAAGTTCTCCTGCCCGAGAAAACATTGCCTTGCCAACTTCGTTGGTCATCTGCACAAATTTATAAGAAAGAAAGACATAATCATCATCATTACTCTTTCATCAACATACTGCACCTGAAATGAAGATGTCAAGAGGAATTAAATACTTCATTTGATGGGAATCCCACAAGTATTTAAAAACTAAATTAATTGTCATAAAATTGTTTCTTCAATTAGTTAACTAACTGCAAGAATAGTCTTTAAGCCAGAAATAAAGATTACCAACTATTGATTTAATATAAGTGGAATGTCTAGACACAAATTTTTTCTGTCCAAGATGGTGAACTAGTTGATGAAATTAAATCGTTACAAATGTGCAAAGTTTGATAAAACATAACATAATGAAAAGAACTGAGGACAAAAAAACAGGCTATGACAACTGGCAGTGACAAATTTTACACTGAAATTAGTACCTGTTGGCCAGATGGCCATAGATATGGATTAAAACGAACAGCACGGAAACCATCCTAGCAAGGAAAGAGAATGAATCAGAATGATTATCTGAGAGAATAATGCAATTATGAGATAATGAATAGACAATCCAAAGACCTTCACAAGCTGTTCAAGCTGCTTAATCCCACTGCCATCTTCTGCAGGATTTGCTAGGCAACAACCAACAAATTTGGTTGGGTACTTCTTCAGGACACTGTCCAATTATAGAATTGCTTTAGGCAATACCATATCTATAAAGTAAAAACTATATCAACTATACAAATCTTTGAGGTTAAATAACTATAATGAATCAACGTGTGACCAGCAATTCACTATCTGAATAGCATGATCGAAAAAGCGATGTCTAAGATGAAATATAGCTTTAAAGTAAAGAAACAACAGCCTCCCCCAACCATGGACCTTTGTCCTTTGTCTTACTTAGAAATCCAACTCTACAGGAAGTCAAAGGATCTTCAGATTGAGCACAACTCATTGGGTGCAAGGTCTTATACGAGTTGTATTAAGTTCACAATTTTCATGCGGCTTCGCAGGTTTCTGAAATCTTGATCTCTAATGCATATGGAGAAGAAAAAATTCTAAACTTATCATTTTGCAATAATGTAATCTTAACAGACCTTGTCACCAAAGAATGATCAAACTTATGATTAATGGGCTGCACAATGAGTGCCCCATCCACACTCGCTTCTGCCATGTTCTACAGGGAAAAAAAAAAAAAGAATATCAGAAAAGAATACTATCACATATTCAATGAATCTATATAAAAAGAATCTACTCATCCTTCAAAATCAATATCATGCCTGTAAATTTCTAAAAAAATAGTGGTAAAGGGCAAGAAGAGAACATGAATTAATCAAGATCTCCAAATGTATTGAAAAGCACCAATAATCATATTTTCACTCATTTACAAATTAAACACTTATAGTACCCAATCCCAACTACACCAGTAATTAAATCATACAATTTTAATTCAATGCAAACCCATGTAAGATCAGATAGCAAATAACATAAAGTACACTAACTATGCTAACAATAAGAGGCGTACCTGGAGCAAATCAACATTTCCGGCAAAGTGGGTTCTTGGCCAGGAAAGTAAGGGTATTTATCTGCAGCCTTTGCAAAGTAGTAAAAAAAAAAAAAATTTAAGCATTTTGAATGCCCTTTGTTCATTAAAATAGATAGATATGCAATTTAGTCTTACCTCTTCAGGTAAAGCCCATACGTGTAGATGTGAATCGATGGTTTTGATGCTTGAAAAAGCTTTAGTCTGGGATTCACTGGAGCTCATTTTAGCAGCAGAGATTGTGAACGGTGATTTTTTATGATTGGAGTGTGAAAAATGAGGAAAGGCTGAAGCTGTAAGCAGTGGCTTTAATAACTTCGTCACCACTGCCATGCCCATCACAGAAAAAATGTAATTGATTTATGACTGGTTAGACTTAGGGCCTTTTACGTAAATCTCTGAATTTTTATCTTTCTTTTTATTATATTATTAAAAGAAGAAAATTCTTTTCATTAGTGAGAGATTCTTCTTAATATATCATTCATTTTTCATTAATAAAATCTTTAATACTAATATCTTTTCTGAATTGAGCGAAATGTCATTTACATCCTCTCCAATAAAATATTCCAAAACGCCTGGTGGATTGATACCATTAGAGGATACATATGTCATTTTGTGCCCACTCGTCTCTCGAATTCCACGTTTCTACAAAACCCACCCAACCCACACGCCATTCTCTTATCATCATCTTCAATCTTAATCAGACAAGAGACTGCTCCATCATGGCGGCTACTTTTACAACCCAAGTACCATCTCTTTCATCCACCCCTCGTTCTGTATTTTTATTTCTTTCCACGTTGCAAAGTTAATATCTGATTTTTTTCTCTTTGTTTTTCGCAGATAAATGTGGGCTCGTTATCGGGTCCACGAGCAAGCCTTTGTCAGACAAAAGTGTTGGGTGCTACGTTTAATGCATCAAAATTCCCAAAAGGTTTGCTTTGACGTCCAATGCTTCTTCGTACTCCTGTTTCTT